TTAGTTACTCCATGCGTTATGAGGCTAAGCCTTGATACTCAGTTTCCTCGTGCTTCTCTCTTCGTATATCCCTTTCGCACGAACTGTAATCACGATTCATTGAGTAGTTGAATATCGATAGATATGATTATAATTAAGAGTATTAAAATCCGGATACAGATGTGTGAAAGTGGGATAAACGAGCCAAACTCGGGCGGCCGTCAAAGATACTATGTTAGACATCACCAGCATTGCTACAAGCCCTGGATGCCACAGTATCGACTGCTATCCATTTTATTTTATTTTTCGGCTCCGGAAGCCGCCACGTCACTCAAACTTCTTGCATCAGTTTCATGCATCAATCATGCGGCCATGCGGCAAATGCTACCTGTTGTCGGATTACTGCGCCGGGATAAAGTCAGGAGGAGGGGTTCTTGTACAACCTATGAGGTACCATATTTTTCTCCTCATTATTAACCTGGATACCACATTGCATTCCAAAACAGATACTAGATACTAATTTTTAAGATCCCGCCCCTTAAATAAGTTTTTCATGTATCAACAGCTTAGCGATGTTAATAAGTTAATAGTGACCTTAAGAGGCAGTACTAGCTGTGTATACCATACCACAATATGAAAGTGATAGAACACCCAAGTAATATGCTATGATCTTTGTCATTCTTTAATTTACTAAGTACATGGATATTCTTCGTTAGCATTAAGCTGTGTCATGGATTCTCGTCGACAGCCAACACAATCATAGGTTCCGACCTTGGCGAGTTGTAAAAAGTCACTACGACAACAGGATTGATTCCACTACTCTTAGTTTAAACCACGCTCAGTCACTTATTAATCCTCCCGGTCGCTCGCGTTGAAATTCACTAACTGTTAGAAAGCAATTATGATATAAGAAGTCTGAGAGCTTTCTCCATGGCTCTCGATACCCTAATGCATAATTAGATAGGTACCTATATATCCTGGGAAAGGAATAATAAAGAAAAAGAAGAGAACTTACACACATATAGCTCCAGGCCAGTGAGATGAATGAGATACAACCAAGCTAGGGAGCAAGCATAACTTGCATCTTTTATCGTCCAGCAATGTCACCCCGTTGTAGTAAACATATCACGGTTGCTCATATACCTTGATCAACAGGAGATACGCGGAGTTCTGATATGTATTTAATGGTCTGAATGAATTTTATACCTAGGGTATATCACTACTTTGTATTCTACCTATGCAGCGGTTTGTTAGCTAGGGGCTTAAGGTACATATTTAATTGATAAGGGTCAACTAGTCCCCTAACCAAATCCCCCCTAGACGGGACTCGGTGAATTGCGCCATATCTCACGCAATCGTGCTCCGTATCTACGGTATCTAGCCGACCGACGCCCTGCGGCGTACGGTGGCCGATAATTGCATGTTATATGTGTACTAGTTACTGTGTCCGACTTACTGTATACCGCCATGAGATATAAATTTATGTACATTTTCTCTCACCGCAACCACACTCATTTTAGCACTCAGAATTGACTATCATCACAATCATGGCATCAGTGGCAGTATCGGAACCTGTCGCTCCGGCTAAGAAGATCCTTGTTTTCGGGGCAACAGGCGTCATTGGCAGATTCATTATAGCCGCCCTGGTCAATGCAAAGTCCAACTTCGAGCGCGTCGGCTTCTTTACGTCGAGGGACACATGGTATAGTAAAGGCAACTTCGTCGATACCCTAGAGAAGAATGGTGTTGAGAGCATTATCGGCGACATCAACGATGACGCACAAGTCTCAAAGGCCTATGAAGGTATAATCAAGCTATTCGAGAAGATGCAGTTCTAGTTCTAGTGGGCAGCTAAGAACGAGATAGGCTATGATACGGTCGTGAGCGCTCTTGGCCGCGATGTTATTGAGAAGCAGATCGACTTGATCCGGCTGGCGGAGTCCTCCAGCACCATCACGCGCTTCATTCCGTCCGAGTATGGCACGGATATTGAGTACAATGCCTCTTCCGCCAACGAGAAGCCTCACCAGAAGAAGCTCCAAGTAAGGGCGTACATCAAATCTTCAGTCTCGAGGCTTCGTTATACCTATCTAGTGACAGGTCCCTTTGCAGACTTGTACGTTAGCAACAGGCCCAAGATGCCAGAGGCTGGAACCTTCGACGTGGTGAACATGAAGGCGACATTGCTGGGAGACGGCAATGGGAAGACCAGCCTAACTACCATGGCAGAGTAAGCAGATTCGGAAGTGACAAGTTCATATTGGATGCTGATTGTCGATAGCGTCGGCCGTCTCCTCGTAGCGGTGCTTCTACACCCTGAGGTGAGCGATAATCGCGCACTCAAAGTGAATTCGTACACAACAACACCCCATGAGCTTCTCGCGGAATTCGAACGGCAGATGGAGACTAAGTGGGAGGTGTCTTATACATCGTTACCTGAACTCAAGGCGCACGAGCAGGCCGCTTGGCGGGACGGCAAGCCGGCGGCAACTGGCTATACTCTGAGGAGGATATGGACCGAAGGAGGCACGTTATACGACCAAACCGATAATGCGGTTCTGGGGAAGAATAAGATGGATACCGTGGAGATGACTGTACAGCATGAAATTACGTCGTGGGCGAATGCCATCCATGCCATCAAAACGTAGTGCCTCATATGTCACAGGAGTGCATACCAAGGAAATCCAAATACAATCATATAGATTTGAATTTTGACTCTCTATTCTTCTCTAAGCATTCCTAGCCACTGCGCCTATTGATGCTCTGAAAGTCGGGCAATGCGTATTCCTAGACACTCTAGACAACCCGAAACTTTGGCTCCCCCGTGGTGAGCCACCCTGTTACATTGTCCTTCAGTGCCCGGTTGTAGTTGTCATTGGTATCCTCCGCGCACCATGCCACGTGCGGCGTTGTTACCAAGTTAAGGTCCGCAGTATCTGGTGCTAGTAAGGGGTTATTATCAGGGCCCGCCGGCTCCCGAGAGTAGACATCCGTGCCCGCGCCCGCAATCTTCTTGTCTCGTAGAGCCGACACCAGCGCGCTCTCGTCCACGATCCCGCCCCGAGACACGTTGACTAAGACTGCGTATGGTTTCATCACGTCGAACTCTGTATCGGAAATAAGGTTGAGTGCCTCGGGCGATCGCGGCAGACATATAAAAATCACTGTACTCTCGCGAATCAGGGCGTCAAACGGTACTCGGCCCTCCGGGGCCGGCGCGCCTTTCCTCCCGGATATTAGAATCTTCATGCCTAGGCTTCTCGCCGCGGCCTCTATCTGATTTCCGACGGCGCCGTAGCCTACAATCCCGGCAACCTCGTCTCGGCACGTCCTCGGGGGCTTGTCATCCGGCCCGTTGAGGGTCTTGTGCAAGGACCCTCTCTTCGTCCACTCCCCCGACCGAGTCAGAGTGCTCGTCAGCGCGACAGACCGGCGCGCCGCTAAGTACAGCGCAAGCGCGTGCTCGGCCACGGCCGTCGCGTTGCAGTGCGGCGTGTTCGCGACGACGATGCCGCGCGCTTGGCAGGCGGCCAGGTCGACCGAGTCGGTGCCGGACGCGATCACGCCGACCATCCTCAGCCGCGGGGATACCTCTGCGCTCAGCGCCTCGGCCGTGAGCGGCAGCGTGGTGACGATGACAATCTCGGCGTCGTGTATGCGCTCCGCGACCTGCGCCGGCGTCGTCCTGCTGTAGTCCCGGAGCTCGTAGGTGTGAGGCGCCGGCAGCGCGAAGTCCGGCACCGGGCAGAAGAAGGATTCGAGCGCCACCACGACGTGGTGCATTCCCGATTCGGCGGCGGCCATCCTGCTTCGTCCGCCTGTTCGACTTGAAGCAATCTCGAAATACCTGTTGCCGTACTGTGAGACCTACCGAGCTGCTGCACAAAACTGATTGGCATTTGGGGAAGTTATAGAGCTGATTGTCGGTCGCGACGAAAAAATCGAGCGGCTTTCTCCTACCGGCACCAGGGATCGACATTTGATTGAAGGGCGCGCCCTCGATAGGGTCGCTGCTGTCTGACCGTCCTGTACAACTCGGCCCCCACAGCGGCCCATTTGCTCGGGCTGTCGAGCCCACTGACGAGGCCCTCACTGACGACATTCCCTGATCTGTGGAATAATAGCGCAAGAGCTGAGGACTTGTAGTCTTGGCGATTACCCTCATATCTACTAGTCTCATAAATCGTCCAGGAGAGAACCACTATTGTGCCGATCACAAGTGTTAAAGCGTACGTCAGCCAGGCTTATCTCGCGTTGACGCAAGTGTCGTTTCTGTAGGCTTGCTCGGTCACAGCGCTACCATCCTCGCGGGTGCGCACAGTTAAAGCAATGGCGATACGGCTGAACGTATCATCAATTGTAGATAACGTCACGTTTCCTTCCTGGAAAATGGTCTGGAGAACAGCAGGCTCATATACCCCAGAACCCGCTCTAAAGCTGAGACTGCCACTAAACAAGATTCATAGATACGAAGCTAGGCTTGTTTCCATGTCTCGATCTCTCTGGTAGGTACAGACATTCAGAAACCCGGGTGCTGCCTCCTTGCAGCTCAAGTCTTACGAGGCTTGGGCATTGAAGTCTTTCTCGGTATCTTGCAACTTTTCACAGGCAATATTAAAACCCAAGGGTTCGTTGGCGTTGTTGTCAAAAACAGCTTGGGAATGATAACAGATTAAGCCTTCCAAGAGATAGGTTTCCGTCGGTGACGCTCAACAGGCCGCCGTTTCTATAACTTGCAGGCACCGTATATGTATCACATTCGAAATCGGCACATTGATGATTAGGTAGTTAAATAATGGTCGCAGACAGTATCAAAGAGCATCGTGTCTACTCAATCACTCTCCACATGTCTTCTTATTGTTCTTCCATAGGGCTCTAGGCATGTGCACTTGTAGGAATCGGTTTAATAATATGAATACATATGATCAAGCAGTGGCATATCAGGCTCAAAAGGCTACAGGAGTATAGAATTCTCACAGAAACAAAAAAGCGGAAAACCAACCACCTTAAAAATATGTGAGTGCCTCCTATCGGAATCGAACCGATGATCTTCGCATTACGAGTGCGACGCTTTACCACTTAGCCAAAGAGGCGAGGTTGTGGAAAATCCGCTTAAAACTGGTATAGATCCAAGCGACCTTCCCACAAATGCGCTCGTTAGTTAATAAGCACAAAATGATAATGTCACGTGGGGTATTTAGTTTCTGATGGGATAAAACCTACGGATTACATCCGTGGTGGGGCAGTGAGGGGGCCGGCTTAGACCCTCATGTGACCAGAGCCTTCACGGCTCCAAGACCCTCATGGCTTCATAGGTAGGGCTCCTCATGACTACGCCCGACGATACTGTCTCGGCAACTGATATTGACCAGTGTGTCTATATGTATGGCTACTTTCTCTAGAGCTCATATGGAGCGTCCTTGTTATGACAATGGCTGTTGTAAAAAAAGCCGAAACCTTGGACGTGCTTCGGCATATCCTAAGATATTAACCCTCCTACGCTCCTGGTACATACCCCAAGAAATATGAAAGAGGTTAGGCACCTTCATTCTCTGTACTATGATATCCTAGATGTTCTCAGGATATCTCCAGGCTGGTTTCTATAATGATATCAATGGCGGCGTGCACGGGCGTAGTACGTAGTGTGGGCTGTCTATATTCGATGGCATCATTAACACTCGCAGCAGCATTTAGCTGTATCGCTTTGCCTGACAACCCGACTAGTTCCCAAGCGAGATAGATCAAACCTTGGCAGAGATCCATGGCTATTACTTGAATAGAGGGTGTAGGACGCAACCCCCCTGCGAAGGTCTCCTAGAAAGGTTTCGGCCAAATTTTCAAGATGTGGCCAGTCTGTGTGTTTAGTATGGATAGTGTTTGCCTCCCAGCTCCTCGAAAACCTATATTTAAGACTATTTAACTCTCAAGGACACAGGTATATATAGCGTCGAACAGATAAACCTCATGCCAACGGGAGCATTTGCATTTCAAACCGTGCTAACCTTGATTTATGCATGGCTGAGTGACGCTACGGGCAAACTCGTGCCCATCGTTGTGGTCGCCGCTGAAATCACATTGATCGGTTGTATTATCCTAAGCATCTACCCCGAGAATAATCATCACGCCATGATGGCCGGGTGGTTCCTTACATATGGTCAGGATAGCGCGTCAGCGTTGATCCTCACATACATCAACAAAATTATTTCATTCTCGAGCGAGCACAGGTTAATCGTTATTGGTATCGTTGAGACCTTTGGCTTTGTACTAAATGCTTGAGTCATCTTGCTCGCGTATCCTAGTGGCGAGGCGCCTAGGCTCTAGTAAGGACATGAGATAGCAGCGGTGTTCTTTTCTCTGGAGGCCTTAACCATCTTAGCGATTAGTTTCTGTCACAAAAAGTGTAAAGCAGGCCCACTAGCCGATTAATATGGTTTATGATAGCAACTATACTGTACGATATGGTTACTTATATTTGTTTTTAGTCGCGGCATGGGTAAGATCTTGGAGCTAAATGTTTGGGTTAAATATTTCCACTTGTATTTTGCTTCCCCGAATGTCTCTTTTCGTGTAATATACAGCCTTAGTCATGCCTATGGCCTCATCATCGATGTAAATATCGATGTACATCCAATCGAGCTTGCCGCTTAAACTAAATTATTTAATGCAATCAATCATATTCATTTTGAACTTGATTTATTTAGTTATTCATTGTCCCAACGTCTGCTAAATGACAGGTGTACGGGTCTCTTCTCTGCATCTATAAACTACGAACTAGGTACGTAAACTACTGTCTATCACAGTCTGTATGATGGTAGCCGACAGGTAAGACATGCAGTACACCCCTGTTCTCCGGGGTGATCCTACTCATCCGCTCTCCACTACCCTCGAGGCTTGGCACTCCGCTTGAACAGTACATAATACGATAAGCTACGCCTTTCCTCTCTAATGTATAGTTGTGATAGACGCTTCGAAGTCAGCATGTCTGAGTTAGAGGTATACACGAAGGCCCATGCTCAGGATTCCCCTTCAATGGGGTCATTTTCACGTTAGAAATATCAAGGTCAATCTAGTAAGATAAATAACTAGGTTGTCAATCACCGGGCTCAAACTATTTTCCGTTTTATCTATTACGATTCTTGTTAGGTACAAGTGATGAGCGGTATCTTCGGCTATATCCGTAACCGTCCCGTGCATTATAGCCGCCTCTTCCACGATGCAGGCCCAGTTATCGACGCTCTCCCAGACACCCGGACCGAGGCATACTTTCAATTTCCACCGCATTTCTCTCAGTCTGTCAGGTCAACCCGAGTGTGCAGGCTGGTCTATCTCGCGACCAGGCCCCCGGGACGTCAATAGCCAGGCTTTGAGGCTCCTCGTGACATCTAAGTGGGCTGAAGCAGCTGAATGCTTCCGTTTCAGGGAGAATTGGAGCTCGCTTATGCGTAGGACGCTCCACACACGCAGTCTCCTTGCAGCCGGCCACGGCACAACCCGCTTTAAATAAGTTGCTGCTGATAAAGAGGCCAGGAATTCCGCAAGGATCACTGTTAATCCCTACATACACACAATAGTGCGGCATGGGGCTACAAGCAAGGCAGCTGGGGCTAGACATGTCTTGTGCGCTGGCGGGGTTATTTTGACGCTAGATGGAGAACTTACACAGTCAATTATATTCAATTCCCCATTCAAACAGAATGTGATAGAGATGCCGAAAGACGTATTAAAGCTTAGAGGTAGAGAACACCTCAATCACAGTGGTATCAATATTGATTTCGAATATGGTTTAACTTGTTGGAGCCAAGTTCAGGAAGGGATCACATGTAAGAATCGGAATTTCCCTTTCTAGGCAACACCGGAGTGGCGGGTTGAAGGGTGGTAAGCAGGCTGAGTGATGTGATGTGTGACATATATATTTAAAGCTTCGATCCCGCATATCCAAAATGTCCCACCAGGTTCATGTTCTATTTCTTTCCAAAAGAATTTTCAAGTAACTCTTTCACAATATGAAGCCATACAGGATTGTTGATAATCTCGAGACTGCCAGTCATGACCTCGAAATAGCAAGCAAATTCCCGATATTTGCTATAGGAACTGTTAGTAACCCCTCATTAACCATGTGCGACCTGAGTCTGACAATCAGCAGGGAATACTCCTTGGCGGCTCCTTTGCCATATATCAGATTATCTCCCACAACTTGATGAAGCTGCTCCCATTAAAGGGCTGATATCAGGCACGACAAAGACAAAGACAAAGACAAAGACAAAGACAAGGGCGTGTGTGTGTGCAGTATGCTATTCCAGCACAATATGTTATCTCGAACGAGAGAAGAGCCTCGGGAATATACTCTCCACTCCAGCCCTACACAGATATGAATTATTTTGGGGAAATTAAGATCGGATGGTGAGCGAAAGGCGTTATGAGATGGGATCCATTTCCTCGGTATCTACTTGGGATGAAGGCGGTTATTTGGTTTACGAAACATTAACGAGGGGCTTCTCTATTAGAACAGGCCTTTGAGAATTAGAATGGCAACAACGATGAAGAGCGGATGAACAAGAGGAAGAGTGCGGAGCTTTATCAGAAATTTATCAGTTTATGTGTCAATATTCTTCAACATGGATGAGGAGACATACAACCAATAAGACAAGATACTATTGATTCATTTTCAAGCGTACTGTGAAGTATATGAGTTGCACGCTCGATCATCGAAGTCCATACGGTTCGCTGCGACAATGCCTCCTGGGTATAATATGGTAGCCTCGTGCTTTGTGGAAGTGTGATGAAGAAGCCAAACAACAGACAACCTGTCAAGTACACAGTAAACCCTTATACCAATCAAGTACTCAACACTCTCCTCTAAGTCCCAAAAGCTACGGAGTGCGCCTAGGGAGAAATCCATCTTTTTACATTACCCTGATGCCATGTATGTGAACGCTAATACCATGTCCATTTATTTGGTCTATCTATATCAGAGCTTCTATGTGTAGCTTAGCCATCGGTGTTTAGCGAAGGATCCGCAAACACCTTAGTGATAGCGATCATATCTTCGTCGCCGAGGCCCGACTGCACCGCATGCTTATATAGTAACCCGCAGAGGTGTATCAAAGGTGACTGGGCTCCGGTCTCCTTCGCTGCCGTCTCGATGAGCTGGGTGCTATTGTAGCAGTCCGCGATCCCTGCCTGTGCCGACCAATCCTGGCTGAGCATCTTGGACGTCTTAACTTTGGAATAGGCCGAAGCCATGGGACCCGCGTCGAGCACCTGTTTAAAAGCCTCTAGGTTGAGACCCTGGACTCTAGCGAGGTTCATGGCTTCACCTAGGCCACACGTCATGGTGATTGCAACGAGGTTGACAGCGTACTTGGTCGAGAGGCCCGTTCCGATCGGCCCACAGTAGACGGCGGTGCTTGTGATCGGCTCTAGTGCAGGTTTGACGCGCTCGGCCACGGCGGGGTCCCCAGCCATCATTCCGACGAGCTGGCCTTGTTCCGCTGGACCCTTGCTACCGCTCACAGGCATTTCGACGAAGTCACCGCCCGCCTGCTGGACCTCTCTAGCGAGGTAGTGACTAAACTGTGCAGGTACTGAGCTAGTGTTGATTAAAGTCTTGCCCCGAAGCGCATTCTTGAAAGCATCATCGAGTACTGATTCGATAGCCGACCCGTCGAATAGCATTACAAAGACAACATCGGACTGATCCACCACTTCAGCCGGCGTTGCAGCGATTCTCGCTCTGGCCCGTTCTAGTGGTGGGTACTTGGACGAGCTCCGATTCCAAACAGTAAGCTGAAACTTCCTAGCGAGATTCAACGCCATGGGCGTGCCCATGACGCCCAGACCTAGAAATCCAACTCGCATCTGAAGGGGGAAGAAATAATAGGGGGGAATATCAAAGGTGGTATATTAGCGGCACGCTAAGCTTGGCATTTCAGCCAACTGCGCAAGAGGATCCCTAGGACAATTTAATACCTATGTAGGAGGCTTGTATGCGGCGATAACCCCCTCAATCCCCGATACGGCGTCACACAGATCAGTGGCGCAGGAATAGGGTCTTGCAGCTTGAAAGATCTGTTCACCTAACAAATAGGGGTTG